ATTTTTTTTTTTTTGAGAGGCTTTTGCTATAGGGCACATGCGCTCACCAGACAGAGACAGACAGAAAGCGAGAAATCACCCCCAACGAGGGAAGGCCACGCCACAATCCCTTCTCCATTCTCCTCTCGGGATCTTGGGCACGTGAGCACAAGCACCTGGCGTGAGTTTAAGCCACCGGGTCCGGGAATTGAACTACGGTCAACTACACAGGAGTCCAGCGACATAGCCATTACGCTAACTGCTGGCCCCCCGAAATTTCATTTTTTAATAATTATGTCATTTTATATAATTCCATTTGTTACTATTGTTTTTTAACTTGATCAGAGAGAGAGAGAAAGAGAAAGCAAGGAAGTAAGCTCCCTGGTCAGGGACTCGGATTACAGTTGGCCATGTGGGAGTCCAGTACCTCTAACCACCATGCCACCTGCTGGCCCCAATTGCCATTATTTTTTAGTTTTACTTTTTAAAGTTGACCAGAGAAGGAGAGAAAGTGAAAAAGCCAGCTGCCAGGTCCAGGACTTGACTGCAGTCAGCCATATGGCAGTCCAACTGCCTTAACCACTAAACCACCTTGTGGCCCCTCTTATGAAGTTTAAAAGGACACTTCGGAACCAGTAAATGGCATAATGGTTACATCACTGGACTCCCACATAGTTGACGTGGTTTGAGTCCTGAACCTGGAGACTTAAAATTCATGCCAGGCACGTGTGCATGTGTGACAAATCCCCAAGATCCTGAGAAGAGAATAGAGGAGAAGGGATTGTGGCATGGCCATCCCCCTTGGGGGTGATTTCTCGCTTTCTGTCTATCTTTCCAGCGAGCACACATGCCCTATAGCAAAAATCTCTTAAAAAATAAAAAATAGGGGACCAGCAGTTGGCGTAATGTCTATGTCACTGGACTCCCATGTAGTCAACCACAGTTCGAGTCCTGGACCCTGTGGCTTAAATTCACTCTGGGCACGTGTGCATGCGTGCCCAAGATCCCGAGAGAATGGAGGAGAAGGGTTTGCGGCATGGCTATCCACCCTGGGGGGTGATTTCTTGCTTTTTGTCTGTCTCTTTCTGGTGAGCACATACGCCCTATAGCAAAAACCTCTCCAAAACAAAAAGTAAAAGGACACCTGGGTCTGCCTTGTAGCACAGTGACTGGATGCTGTGCATTGGGAGCTGGATCCCACACACGCAGGTGTGTGCATGCACGTGTATGCCAAAGGATTGCAGCATGGCCATGCCTCATGGGGTGGTGCTCCCTCTTTCTCTCTGGCAAACATGTGTGCCTTCTTCCAGTTACAAAATAAATTTAGAAATATCAGCAGAGTAAAAGGCACTCACAGAATGGGAAGAAATATTTACAAGTCACATGTATGATAAGGGACTCATGTCCAGCACACATAGAGAGCACACATAGCTCAACGACAGAAACAAGCCTAAATTCAAAACTGGGCAAAGAATCAAGTAGACATTTCTCCAAAGAAGATAGATAATGTCCGGTGAGCACATGAGAAGATGTTTGACATCAGTAGTCATTAGGGAAATGTACATTGAAACTACAGCCAGGTGCCACCTCACACGTGTTAGAATGGCTGTCAGAAGGGGTAGAGCCGGCCCTGACATGGCAGTAATGCACTGCTTAAAAGAAGCTGGACCCTCATGGCGGCAGCCACGGTTTAGATCCCCAGCCTCAGCCCAAAACATGCCCAGTGGCTGCACTAGTGCTGTGGTTGGGGGCCTGGAGGAAGGCGCTCCTACTTCTCAGTCGGGCTGGCGTAGTCTGTAATGCAGGCAGGTCAAAACAATAGCACTGCACAGTGGCTAAGCAGTGCACAGAAGGAGCTGGCTCCCACATGGCCAACCAGGTTCAAGGTGCACATCTGTGCCCCAAATCTGGACAAGAAATAAACTTGGAAAAAGGATGTGGTGTGACTAGGCCCCATTTGGGAGTGTGCTCTGTCTGTCTTTCATGTTCTATTATGAATAGAGAAAAAACAAATTCAAGCCATAAAGTTATCCAGAGCAGAGCGAGCAGAGCCCTGGCCTGCTCAGAGAACTGCTGTTTGGTGGCTCGGCCCTGGCAAGGCCATGATGCCAAGATACCGGCTCGGCATGCATGGCCTCCCGTAAGCCTCGTGCTGTGTGTGCTGTACTGAGACTTGCTTTGACCTCTGCACTGCCCACACCTTGCTCTGGCCTGTGCCCTGCCCATTCCAAAGCTGCAGTCAGGTTCACATCCTGCCCTGGGAAGCCAGACCCGCTCCACCCCTCTTCTGAGGAGTGTGCTTCAGACCATTGGGCCACACAGCAGCAACGCCTCTTTCCATGCCCTCTGCATTGTTTTTGGCTGCTTCTCTACTGTAAATAGTGCTGGGCTGTGGTGTCTTATTGTGAGAGTATTTTGTGACAGAACTTCACCAAACAAGTGCTCCTTCAGGCTGGCTGAGTGTCCTGGGGAGGCCTGGCAGCCCTGCTGTGCACTGCACTGCCCAGCCAGGGGCAGTCTTGAGCTCGTGAGGGTCTGGTGTCCCATGGGCTCTGTTGGCGGTGAGGTGGCAGCAGCCCGGGAAGGCCTGTTCTACTTTGGGCGGGGCTTTCCCAGTCCTTCCCATCTGCCGTCCTGACTCTTGTACTGGCCGGACACTGGTGACGTGTGCATCTGGTTTCAGACAGGCCGACGGGCGCAAAGTGCTGCGGTCAAGCATCCGTGAGTTCCTGTGTAGCGAAGCCATGTTCCACCTGGGCGTCCCCACCACGCGGGCCGGGGCCTGTGTCACGTCCGAGTCCACGGTGGTGCGTGACGTGTTCTATGATGGTAATCCAAAATATGAACAGTGCACGGTTGTGTTGCGTATAGCTCCCACTTTCATCAGGTAATGCCGGGCTCCTTTCGGCCTGTTACGTACCCTTGTCCATAGTCCTACGAGATCGCGCTGTGCAGCCAGAAGGCCAGCCTGTCTCTAGAACAACCACAAGCAGATGCCCACGAAGTGGGAGCCCCATCCTGACCCCACGGATTGCAGCTGGCCCATGGCATTTCCTCACTGGGTCCCACCCCATGTAGGTGGTGGTTCTGGGCCCTTCCCAGCTGGGAGAGATGGCTACAGAGGCAGCTTGAGCCAGAGCAAGACCAGCAGAGAAGGGGACAGTGTGGGGCCTGGGCGTCAGAAGAGGGTTCCTGAGTGGCACTTCCAGGAAGAAGGGCTCTGGAACATGAGGTTCTGGAAAGGTGCATGTTCAGAGCTGTTCACAGGAAGTACACAGATGGGCAGAGGAAACCCCTCCCCCCCGGGGTTTTTTTTTTTTTTTTTTTTTTTTTAGAGAGAGATTTTTGCCATAGGGCGCGTGCGCTCACCAGACAGACAGAGAGAGACATAGAGACAGAAAGCGAGAAATCACCCCCCAGGGGGGATGGTCACGCCGCAATCCCTTCTCCTCCATTCTCCTCTCGGGATCTTGGGCACGCACGCACACGCGCCCGGCTTGAGTTTTAAGCCACCGGGTCCGAGACGCGAACCACGGTCGACTACGTGGGAGTCCAGCGACATAGCCATGACGCTAACTGCTGGTTGTCATCGCCCAGTGTCTTAATAGCAGGCCGTCTCGCACTCAAGTACCTGCCGTGTCCTTTTCTGGTCCAGTTGTTATCTCCTCCCACTGACCTTTGCCGTTTGTCTTTGGTGTCCAGCAGATAACACTTTTTCAATCCTCATGACCTGAACCTGGGGCTGCCAGGAGGTGGCTGAGGTGCCCTGTGGTTCTGTCCTGCCAGGCCCAGGCTGCCTGTACCCTCCTGAGCACCAGTCGCCCACGCCTGAGACTGGCTGTGTTGGTCTCTGCATTTGCCATCCTTTGGCAGGATGGGGTGGGGGGCCAACACAGTCTTCTGCTCTTCGAGCCCAAGATGCTGGCACAGGGAGGTCATTCTGGGTGTCAGAAGGTTAGCAGCCTGCCAGGCCTCCGCCCACCATGTGCCAATCGTGGCACGAAGAACGTCTCCAGACTTTGGGGGCCCTTCACCTAGGTGGGAGCCGCTGCTGACTACTCCCACACGTGTTCCGCATGTGTTCAGGGTGGGAGGGTGCATACAGAACCCTCTTCGAGTGGCCAGGCGAGGGTGAGGGTGGTGTGCCATGTTTGCAGCCCTGTGGGCCTCCCCACACCATCCCACGCTGTGGGCACACAAGCTTGGTCAGTTCTGGGAGCGGCCGGGTCATGGACAGCTGCCATGGACAGCCTGGTCATAGTTGCTGAAAACTTGGGTCTCCCCTCCAGGTTTGGATCCTTTGAGATTTTTAAGCCCACAGATGAGCACACTGGGCGTGCGGGTCCCAGTGTGGGAAGGAACGACATCCGTGTGCAACTGCTCGACTACGTGATCAGCTCCTTTTACCCTGAGATCCAGGCTTCCCACCCCGGCGACAAGGTGCAGAGGAATGCC